CTCACTCTGCCGTCCTCGTCGTCCTCACTTTCCTCCGTTATTCCCGCGTGCACCGCTGGCAAACCCCGATGCGGCCCACGACTCGCAGACATCATGATTCATGATTACAGGACTGTCGCATGCGCATTCGCTGAGCCTCACATAATTGCCTTTTGGAGCGTGTGCTGTCAATCCCTTCGGAAATGCAACCTTACCCATCCGTCCTGAGTGTCCTTGCGCCGACCTCTTGGTGGTCGGATGCAACCCACACAGGCACAACATTGTGCGCGTCAACTTGGATAAGAGGAATACCAAATCCATCCAACTTCTTGGCGACGTCGAAGCACCTGCGAAGGCGTATCCATCTGGAGGCACGAGCTGGGAATGCTCACGTGTGGGAATACACTTGAAAGCTTAGTTGCCCAACTGGAACTCATTGAAGCCTCACCCTCGCTCGCTACGAGTGTTCCGGCGAGTGCGACAGAGCACGCGCGCACATTTGCTTTGATGACGGCATTCTGCATGATATATTGGCGCCATCTCCTGAACAATAACACACGATCGCTCCTGCCATGTTTCCTGTTCACCCCTTGGCAGGCTAACACCTATCTGTGCGGAACTATTCAGACCATGGTACGCAACTGCCAATTGCCATTACCATGCGCTACGATCAGTCGGTCAACGCAGTGACGTTCAACTCGTGTCATATCCTCCCCATGCCGTATGCCAGAAAGAAGAAGCACCATGCCATTGGCACGCGTAAGGGACTCATATCGCATACAACTGCCGCTGCAGTCTGCTTCCGAATGAACGCCGGCACTGTGTCAACTGGCCAACCTCCCCTCTGCGCGGTCTCGGCATGTGTTGAATCAGTCCGAACTTCGTTGTTCCAATGGTCTGCGTCTGCTGCTCTGAGAGACTGCAAGAATGAATCCATGTCCTCTGCCCTTGCTCTTACCTTTCAATCATGCCTCCAATCTCTCGTGTTCAGGGAGGCGAACATGAACCACCCGGATTACCTCACTCATCACTTGCACCCGTCTTTCCATCCCCCTGCCTAAGAATGTCTCACCGTTCATATCCTGGAATGCTTCTCTTAAAAGCCACATCGCCCACCAAAACACCCGAATCAAAATGTTACAGCATCTCCCCCTCTGCCGAAAAAGAATTCGGCATGCTTGACCCAAACGCCCAAAAGGCGCAAACTGAAATGGAAACGATACCACGACGCCGAGATACCCGTTCGTCCCAAATCTTTTCGAGCTCCTCCCATGTCCTCCCCTCCCGTGCAAGTGGGGTCGCCCAAAGGGGGCTGGAGGAAACGGGCTCAGGTCGTGCCGTATCGCCGATTATCGGCGATGCACGGGTGATGCACCGGCGATGCAGGGATGGGGAACTTGGGCTCAGGATCGCGCCGCATCGACGATACATCGGCAATGCGGCGCGATCCTCCGACCACACCTGCTCTGGACTCGACTTAGGCGGCCTGGAGCAATCCCCTGAGGTCCTGTGGTGAGGTGGAAAGGGATCCCCTTCTTTCGAAGGGCCTCCTCGGTCTCCTGCAGCCCGGTGAGCATAAATCCGTACTGGCGCGCCGTGGCCTCGCCGGCACATCAAGATTCAGAAGCGGGAGCGAACTCGAGCAAAACTCGGCACCTTCCCTTTTCGACTATGGACCCCTTGTTACCCATCCGCCTTCGGTGGTGATCGGCGGTCTTTCGGCGGGCTCTGGTGGTGATCGGTGGCCTTTGGTGGTCATCGCCAGTCTGTGGCGGTCTTCTAGGCCAAAGCTGGGTGGTAAAATTGAAGAAGGAATCCTTGATGGAACACCGTAGTAACAGAGATCGGCTGAGTGAGAAGATATTCGACAACAAGCGCCGAGTCAACGCAGACACCCCTGAGGCATCGAGGGTACGAGATGGGGCCAGGGGGGTGAATATCAAATGCGTGACCACCACCGAATAGAGAAGCATGAGGACCTCACAGAAATGGGAATCGTTGCGACGATGATTGGGGCAAAGGAGCGGAGAAACACGTAATTATGCATGCGCCACGCGGCCTCCGAGCCTGCGGTGGAACGAGCTACCCAATGTGTTGCCATCCGACTGTTGCCAATGGTCCCTCACATGCTGTGCGCAGGGCAAGCGCAACACTTTTACACCATCCTCAGATCCGAAGACTCGGCCCAGTTCGAACGAGCACCTGGTGGTGCCACCTGGGATGCAGCCTGCCCGGATCACCCGCGCCACTCCCGCGGCCTGTTCGCAGGACGTGTTTTCGGGCCCAAGGAGGGCCCCCACCACGGGCGGAGAGGGCCGGAAGAGGCCGCCCCAACGGTCCACGAGGGCCTCGAATTGCCGCACGAGCGTCCCAAGATGGCCCCACGACGGGGGACAGAGTTTGAAAGGGGTTGGGAGGCCCAACCAGCAGCTTCGCCTTCGGCGAAGCCCAGCTCCAGCTCTGCTGTACCGTAGTAACGATGGTCCCAGTGGTAGGAGGCGAGCCATCTCAAGCAATTTTGGTATCGATGGCAAATAATACACCTCGCACTGAGGTGCAGTCAGATCTGGGCGGCCGGCCGCTTTGAGCCAAGCGGCCGCGGGCGCACGCTCGTTCCCACTCACCTGTATCCCCAGCTCACTTTAGAATGAAGAAGCCTTCGAGGCGCCTCCCCCAAAGCCCCAAGCGCCTTCCCAAGGGGGCCCCGAGAGGTCAGCATCTGTGAATTACATTCGGGTTGTCAGTCTTTTTTTCTGAGCCTCCGATGTTTCAAGACGGCCAAGGAGGACCCCAAAATCGCACCAAGACGGCCCAAGAGGCTCCCCAGACGGCCCAAGAGGGATCCAAGATGCCCCAGACGCGCCCAAGGTGGCCCAAGAGGGCCCGAAGAACGCCACAAGAACGGCCCGAGAAGGGGAACACGAACCGAACATCCCAATCGTCCACCCCAAAAGGCCCCCAGGTGGCCCCAGGGAGACTCTAAGAAGCCCCCGGGAGGCCCCAAGAGGCCCCCAAGAGGCACCCCAAGATGCCCCCGAGAGGCCTCCCGCGACATCCCGACGAACATACTAGAAGCCTATGGCCAACAGCCCAGGCACGGTGGCGGGGTTGGCTGAAGGCCATTCTTTGTGTATGTCGGCAGACACTTGTACACACGTACAACGATACATATGTATACATGTGTATGTAAACATGCATGTATATATACACACGCAACGCACACCTTTGTTCACGCACATACATGTATATACATACAGCACATACATGTATACAGCACATATTTGTACATATGGATCGCTGTATATGTATAACTCTTCATTCGTGTATTCGTACGTGCAGCATATACACAGGCGAACACGTGTACCCCCATATGCACATCGTTAACTGTAAACATAGATACATCGATATGTGTGTATGGATGTACATGAAACAACACCTTGATGCTCCGATGTGAGCCAACCCGTGTGCCCAATGCAAACAGATGTGACGTCATCCGCTCACAATCTCCTTATCACCCGAATGGTGGATTATGCGTTATCTGATATACGGTTGTTGGTCCTGCGAGGGGCGGTCGTATAAAGCTCAACGCCGCGCCGATTGCCCCCCACCACAATTCCAGAAAGGGGAGGGGAAGGGGAATGAAGGACTCGAGGGTGTGGCGACGGCAATGTGTGGGAGATGATCTGCCCTTGCTGCCTGGTGCCCCTTGAGGGAATAATGCGATATCGATGCCGCTGCTCCCAGGACCTCTCCAGAGGTGCGTTCTGTGACCAAGATTTCGAACCGACTCCAGTCGTGGCGACGAGGCACCCCCCGAAGGCCCAGGTATCGGTAAAGGTATGTTCGCCTACACCCTACATATCAGGAGCCACTCAACATCCCTGCAGCAAGGTCCATCCTGACCACTTCCGTTGCAGCCCGGACCGTTTCGTCCGACGACCCCCCGGGGCCCGACACGGGCCTCCAGGCGCCGACGACAACGAAACACCTCCCTCGCCTCCATCCCCGCACTTCCGGGCCCTGTGCCTCCAGGAACTTCGGGACCAGGTTGAAGACGACCCGCAGGGCCACGCGGCCCTCGCGCGCGAGCTCCGCCGCCCGCAGCAGCGCCTGCCCGGCCCGCCGCCAGTCGCCGCGCAGCGGCGCCCGGCTGTGCCCGCGACGTCCGACGATAGCGCTTTTCAAGGCCCTCCCGTATGGGGTTCTCGTTTTGGACAGAGCGCTGCCGTCTGCAGGTCCTTCTCCCGCCTACGTTGTCCCCTCGCCCTCCTCCTCCTCCTCCTCCTCCTCCTCCTCCTCCTCCTCCTCCTCCTCCTCCTCCTCCTCCTCCTCCTCCTCCTCCTCCCCCTCCTCTCCTCTCCTGCCTTCCGCCTGGCTGGCGCCTGCCTGCCAGCCTGCCTCCCAGCCTCACCGTCCACTGTCGAGGGCTGCTGGGGGTCCAGCGAAGTGACGCCCCGCGGGGGATTCAGATTAGACAGACCTCGCCATCCCTGAGGGGCTGCGCATTGCGACACTGTCGCCGCTGTCGAGGGCTGCTTGGGGATCCAGCGGGGTGACGCCCCGCCGGGGCCCCGCTGGGGACTCAGAGTAGGCCTCGCCGACCTGGGGGCTGCGAGCTGTGAAAGTACCGCCGCTTTCGGAGGCTGCTGGGGGGTCAAGCGGAGTGACGCCCCGCGGGGGATTCAGATTAGACCTCGCCATCCCTTTGCGGCTGCACACTGCGAAACTGTCGCCACTGTCGAAGGCTGCCAGGGGTCCAGCGGAATGACGCCCCGCCACAGACTCAGACTAGACCTCGCCAACCCTGGGGGGATGCGAACTGCGTAACTGTCGCCACTGTCGAGGGCTGCTGGGGGTCTAACGGAGTGGCGCCCCACTAGGGACTCATATTCGACCTCGCCATCCTTCGGGGCCGCGATTTGCAAAACCGTCGACAATTTCGAGGGCTCCTGGGGGGCGCCGCTGGAAAAAGGAAGCGGAGAGACTGGCGGGCGAGTTCGGCCTCGTTCGCTTCCTGTACCAATCGTGTACAGTTCTACATGGCGGCGGCATCGCTGCTCATCAGCGAGCTACTTGAAAAATCTCCACCCTCTTTTCTCCCTCGTTGTGGTCTTCATCATCCTTCACCGTCTCCCTGCTGCTGCTGCTGCGTTGACTTTTGGGCCCCGCTTCCGTCCTTCTCCTGCCCCTCCTTCCCGCTCCCTTCCTCTCCAAGCCTGGGGCCCCACTCCTCCTCCTCTGTCCTTCTACTGCTGTCCTGTGAGTCGTGCGAAACGCGCACCCCATGTAGCTTGCACATCAAACGGCGGCTCCTGCATTGCCATCATCCATAAACATTGTGTGTGTCAACTACTCTGGTCACGTGGTGCGGTACAAATGGGTTGGTCATGTCGCAGGGAGATTATGCAACGCGAGGCCACTAAGGTCCAGACCCCTTTTCCCAAAGCCAGGTTTTCTCCCTGGATTCACTTTTGATGGTCCTGGTGCCCAACATCGAGGAAGAAACAACGGTATAATCATAAACGTTTGGAAGTCCGCGCGGAGTTTTTGGATCGGCGCTGGACCCCCCTCACTGGCGCGGGGATCGCGCCAGGCGCGTCGCCGGAGGCGCCGCCAGGAAGGAGGAATAATAACCCGAGGACTCAGGGGTGAGCGGGGAGGAGGGTGAGGGTGAGAGGGGGTTCGCGTTGGGGCGGCGCCGCGCCGGCGGCGCCCGCCATAATAATTGTTGCTGTCCCTTGGCCTAAGTCGGCCACTTCTTTCTTGCGGAATTTCAGAACGACGCGATCATCCGATCCAGGTCCGTGCAACGTCAGAAAACGTCGCGGCGGCGGGAGGGGGGGGGGAACAGAGGCAGGCGGGCGCCGTCGCCCGCCGCGACGCACAAGGAGGAGGAGGAGGAGGAGGAGGAGGAGGAGGAGGAGGAGGAGGGGGAGGATGGGAGGATGAGGAGGAGGAGGAGGAGGAGGAGGAGGAGGAGGAGGGGGAGGAGGAGGAGAGGAGGAGGAGGAGGGAGGAGAGGAGGAGGAGGAGCAGGAGCAGGAGGAGGAGGAGGAGGAGGAGGAGGAGGGAGGGGAGGAGGAGGAGGAGGAGGAGGAGGAGGACATGCAGGAGGAGGAGGACGATGAGGAGGAGGAGGAGGAGGAATGAGCAGGAGGAGGGGGAGGAGGAGGAGGAAGAGGGGAGGAGCGGAGGAAAAGGAGGAGGAGGCGCACCCCTGGGAGAGTCCCGATCCCTACCCACACGGCCCGATGGCTAAGGCCCGCACCTGCCGAGACCGACGTGCGCTAGCACGAAGTCGGGCAAGAATGGCGCCGCGGGCGAAAGACGACGACGGACAACGGGTGCGACAAACACAAAACGCAGAATGGATACAATCTAGCGCAACTGCATGCGACAAGATACTTTCAGACGTACGTGCCTGCCAGAGGTGGGGGAAAGCTACCTGCAACCAATCAGTGCCCCAGCTCGCGGGCAGATAACGAAGGAGAGAACGTGCATACTCAACTATCACAGGGCACCGAACATAGTGACCAAGACCGTCAGCAGCAAGATTCATGCACCCGAATACACATGGACCAACTTTTTGGCGATAACGCCGTGTTGTGTTCCACGCATTGCAGACCGTTTTCAATACAGACGCGTGGACAAAGGGCGGCAACTTATCACCTATATATCCCAGACGACTAACGCGCAGATCTATGTCATTCCTGGAGGCCTCAGGGTGCATCTTCAAGATCCTAGGCGACAATACTTCACCGACAGTAGAATCCACCATATATGATTTTAGGTCCAGGGCGACTTCCTTCTGAGTGGTTTTCCCGTGGGAGATCTCAACATTCCCAAACTTGGCCTCGTGCTCTTCTAGAGTCCTATACATCTGGAAAAAGATGGAGTCGGATAACGCACTGGACCACTTGTAGGTTAAACAATAGTCGTCGTTGTCAACATTGGCGTTCCAGTCGCCCACCAGTTTGTGGAACATGTCAGAGTGAGAAGCAGCACGTATCATAGCAACTTTGGCCATAATCGCTAAGGAGTGGCACTCAGTCTTCATGCCAAGTCGGGTAGCCTGCAAGAGGACCTTGGGGGGTATACTGTGCCTGGGGGCCCGCGTCAATAATTGCTGTGCTTCTCGCTCTTGGCTTAAAGTTTCACTCGTGACAATATGGAATTGGGGTACATGTGAGCAAACTGATCCAGCAAATATGCTGCACGCAGAACAGGCGGCAGTGAGACCGGTGCCCAGTGCTTTTACTCTGGCACCCCGCGCACGTAGCTTTTGCCCTACACGCGACCGCGCAGTCTTCGGTGCATGCAAGCCCACCTCCACCCCGAGATACATCCCATATTGATTTAGCTTCCACCCCGATATATCAATACCAGCTTGCAAACACTGGGTGATGATCGGTTGCGGGTCAAAAGGCCGCGGAATCACGATCACGCACTTCGGAAAGTTGAGTGCGAGGCCGGAGCACGGCGTTGCAGCCATTAAGATCTCCGCGACACGAGGGGGGCGCTCGGACTAGGTCAGCAGCTGCAACGGCAAGATCATCTGCGAAAGCAGTAGGATAAACAGAGAGCGAGACTTCTAATTCAGCTATACCACGGAGAATGGGGTCGAAGGCGAACGCGAATAATAGACCACGAAGAGGATCGCCCTGTTTAACTCCTCGAGGTGCCCAAAAACCACCGACATCTGATCCGCAAATCGAAATGCTACGCCAAACCCGCCCGTAGAGAGACCTCATGCAGTTAATGGGGAACGGAGGGGAGCGCCAGCGCTGCAGTACTAGAAAGAGCCAGAAGTGGCGCACCGACGGGAAAGCACTCGTCATGTCGAAGAGGGCGCCTCCAGCAGCCTGCGAATTATCCAGTGCTTGCCACATCATCAATCGACCATCGAACTCGATAATATTGTCAGCGAGGGGCCGACCCGAAATAAAACCACGTTGTACATAATGTAGTTTATCCTTGGCAACTTGCATAAGAGGATAGGCGATCCAGGAGGAGACAATCTTATTGTCAGTGTTGCTTAAGGCAAGCGGTCGCGTGTCTCCACGCGCCTTGGCCACTGCACCAGGAACACTCGCGCCTTTCGGTGGGAATGCCAACTTCGAATAGATATAATCACTAGCGAGGACTTGAGCATCCATGAAGGCGAGATAGTGCTCCCAAAGGGCCTGCTTGATAATCGGATGCGGACACTGCCAAGCACTGTGCGGGATGCCGTCGGGTCCTGGACTGGAGTCGACCTTGCTTTTGAGGAGGTCGAAAAACTGATCCTCGGACAGGGCCCAGGAGAACCGCTGGTGGGTGGAGTTGGTGAACTGGTAGGGGTCGTCGGGGAGGGGCGGGATGAGGTCCAGAAGCCTGGAGGCGCCCTGGAGATCACGCTGGGCCCGAGAGAAAACCTTCCCCCGATACTCAGACAGCTTCTGACCCATGGCAGAATCCTCGCTAAGCTCGGACCCGTCGTCGTCAAAAACAGCGGCGAGGTAGATCTTCGGCTTATTCTTAGCCCAAGCGCGAGAAAACCTGCGGATGCGTGCAATGTGCTGGTCTTTCTTAGAGGGTGCTAATTCGCGAGCAGCGACTCCACGCTCCTCAGCAGCAAGCACACGGCGCGTCAGTTGACCAACTTGCGAACAGAGCCCAAGCCTGTCTGTCAATTCACCACGAGAGATACAATAATACTGCGATAGTTCAGGATAAGCACGAAGTATAGATTTAGCTTGACCGAGGAGGTGACGAAGGAGAGCTGGACACGAATCAGGACAGGCTCGAGGAGGAAGTGAGCGGGCAACACGCAGTAGCTTCAACGCACATGCCAAGCGCTCTTCGTCGGTGGTAGCACCATCCGAGAGCACATCTAATCTAACTTGTATGGCAGCGTGTCTCATGACTTGCTTCATTTCCTGAAGTCGTTCGTTAGGGTCAGTGGAAAGATCAGAGGGGTGAAGAAGAGCTGAGAGATGTGCGTAAAACCGTGGGTGCCTTGCAATCCAAGGTGGGATATTGTGCGAGCGTGACCTATGATCAGGACGATGTAGCTTAAGATATACAGGGGCATGATCAGAGGGCTTCTGGAGGTCAGAAGGAGGCCAACACGTTGAACTTTCAGGAGCCAAGTCAAGTACATCTGCGGTAGGTAAACTAGTGTATATCCTGTCTAAGCGTGCCATCGAAAAAACGTCATCCGTCTTCACGCGGTGGGTGAAGGTGGCCGGGGCGACCTCGAGCAAGGATGGGAAGCACTTCCGAAACTCCAGCGCAAAGCGAGGCGGCGCATGCCGCTCCATATCTTCCAGAATCGAGTATCTGGTGTCGCCTGCTTCGAGAAAATTGAAATCGCCGAGAAGACAGATAGCGGCGGCCACTGGTGACCACATCGCACGCTTCACTCTCCGAAGCGGATCCAGAAGAACGCCGCGAGGGAGCCCAGGAACAAAATGAACATTGATAATCTGGAGTGAAGCTTGCGGCCCATGCAATCCCAAGGGCGTGATTCTCCCCTTCACGACCTCGGAGGAGGCTACGTTCTCGAACTGCTCTCGAAGACTCTTGCGAACACTGGTGACAACACCTCCAGCACCTGGCTGGTCTACACAGAAGCTGCCAAAGTGGAGGTGGTCCCTAAAATCTCGTTCAAGCGATGTGACATCACTGGGCGTGCCGTGCGTCTCCTGCATACATGCAATGTCGTGCGCACTCATAAGGTCACCCACACACTTATATGTACGCACTTGCATATCATGACTACCTCATACGGATCCAAATGCAGTGTGTGCGTTCCACGTCACAATCGAGAACTTCTGATTCGGAATATACGGAGAACATCCACATTCGCCTTCGGTAACCACGCTAGAGCTGGTCTCGGAATTGGAGTCGGAGTCGGACAAGGTACTTGAATCAGAAGAGGTGGAGCAAGAGGAGGAGGGAGAACTGTACAAAGGCACCGCACGCGGAGACATACTAATTGACTGCGAGGGAGCATGTCAGTACTCCATATCTGGAGCACTGTCAGAGACAGCTGGCGCCTGGGCCTCAATCAGAGCCATGATGGTCTCCCTGGTGACGCCCCACTCCTCGAGCTCCTCGAAGTTGGGCTCGAATGTGAACTGCTCCTCACCTTTACGAGTGCTGACTTGCTTGATCTCGATCAGGTTCCACACATCCAATTCATTCTTCACCCGCATCACTCCGCGGAAGCCGTCGATGCCGAGCTGACAATCTGGCGACCACATGTGCGACTGCTGCAAGAGATCACGTACTGGCAGCCAAAGCTTGTGGAATGCTCGCTTCTTTTTGCGAACTGGTTGGGGAAGGTCGGCACGCACTCGGAGCTGGTGTGGAAGCTGTGACCTCGGGTCGGTCCACACTACACCAGCACGAATAGCTTCCCTCTGGAACTGGCTGGCCTCTTCCTTGTTCTGGAAGATGATCGAGCAATTCTGGGCTATGGCGAAGAACTTCGTCTCTACATTGGCCAGATACTGCGCCTTCAGACTACCAAAGTGACTCCTGCGCACACGCTCGAGAACAGGCCGAGGGAAGTGACCAATGAATTTTGTCGTAGGATCCCCACCAGTGTCGTCCTCACCTCGACGCCGCTTGTTGCCCTCGTCATTGACCAGCCTCGAAGCCCACGACTGCTGCCCCCCCGAGGACGTAGAAGCAGTCGAAGACACAGGACGTGCGCGAAGCTGACGCAATTCTTCTTCTTGGCGAGTCTGCTTCTTCATGACCTCCGTCATCTGATTGTTAATGGCAATGATGTGCGCCTCCGCATTCCCCATGTGCTGGGTGAGGGTGGACACGTTCGTCTCCACTGACAAGAAACGAGCCTCGAGCTGTGCCTGCAAGCCCTTCACCGTGTTCTGAATCACTGCAGTCAATTGAGCAACGACTGCAGAATCCTCCATGGCGGCGGTGCCAGGAGGGAGAACCCCTGACAGAAACAAACTGTGTCCGCTTGGGCTTGACCCCAAGATCGCCCCTTCAAGAGAGGCTGCCCGCCCAGGTGCCCGCGGACGCGCGCTGCCGCTGATGGCACTTGAGCCAAAATGGCAACGGAAGGCGAAGGAGGAGGAGGAAAAGGAGGAGAAGGAGGAGGAGGAGGAGGAGGAGGACATGCAGGAGGAGGAGGAGGACGATGAGGAGGAGGAGGAATGAGCAGGAGGAGGGGGAGGAGGAGGAGGAAGAGGGGAGGAGCGGAGGAGAAGGAGGAGGAGGAGGAGGAAGAGGAGGAGGAGGAGGAGGAGGAGGAGGAGGAGAAGGAGGAGGAGGAGGAGGAGGAGGAGCAGGTTGAGGAGGATGAGGAGGAGGAGCAGGAATGTGCAGGAGGAGGATGAAGAGCGATCACGCGGGGGAGGGGCAACCGGGAGGGTTCATAGGCTCGGGCCCCTGGCCAAGCCCTGGGGCTGTCAGTCAAGGCCTCCCAGGGCCGGGCCGGAGGATCGCGCCGCATCGGCGCCGTCGGCGCGGAGAAAATCGGGCTCCCCATCGAGCCGCATCGCCGATGCATCGGGGACGCGGCGCGATCCTCCGACGCCGTCTACCCCACCTGGGAGGCCCAAAGCCAGCACATCGGCCCGGGACGAAGAAGCGGCCCCCACAGGAAGGGGTCGAGACTTCCGACGTTCGGGCTTCTACTGGCCCGTGTCAATGCAAGCCTGGATCAATCAGGCTTTGCAGGATCCTGCGGCATCCTGCAGGATCCTGCGCGCTGGCCCGGGCCCGTGCAGCCCTGGCTCTGCAGGGTCCTGCGAGAACCGCCGTTTGCATTGACCCCCGCCTCGAGGCCCCCAAAAGGTCCACGCCGCGAGCGAGCCGGGGGGCCCCCGTCCCCGCGCCAGCAGAGGCCGTCGGCACATCACCCGCACCCTCTGGCTGCCGGAGGCGGCGCTCGGGCGCCACGCGGCGGCCTTCGGCGGGACTCTCTAAAACCCCGGGCTGGGGGGGCCCAGTAGCCGCCTCAGACCCCACCCGCCGCTCCGAACGCCGCCGAAGTGACACAGCTGGCCCGCCCCCGAAGCCCTGCATCCCAGCAGGTGCCATCCCCTGAGGGGCCCGCATCCTCTGCTCCCGGCGGCCTCCGCGGGCCTTCCGCCTGCCGCTGCTCGCTGAGCTACCCTCGATTTGCTGCCGCCGTCTTCCGCCGGCCTTCCGCAAGCCAACTCATCGGCCCCGCCGTTCTTTGTTTGTTTGATTGTGTGTGTGTGGTGTGGTTGTGTGTGTGTGTGGAGCGCCATCCCCGCCCGCATATCACCAGGTCTCCGAAGTCCTGAGATTCTTTCGGTGCGCGGGGCCCATAGCTCCCGAGCCCTTACTTGCCGCACGGGTCTCGCGTCACTTCTGTCGTGGGCCGAAAACGGGACCCACAGGGGGCCAAGCGCAGAAAACACGGACGTCCAGATATTTCCCGGCGTGTTCGCGACGCGGCACGCGAGTACAGCAACACACGTGGCACCGCAGCACGTCCTGCCAAGGCAGCGAGGCGACGATGCGTGAGCGGGCAGACCAGTCCTGGAGACGGCGAGACGGTGGCAACACAACATGGCAGAACAAGCGTTATGAGAGGAAAGGCGCTCTCCCGCCTTCACGAGGTCTTCGCGGCCCTGTGACTTGCTGCCCCATGCCGCCGCTTGATGCCGCTTGATTCGCTGGCCCCTTATCGCTGCCGCTCGCTGTTGCTTCATGATATATGCTCGAGCTTGCTGAAACTTGCGCATGATGGCGATTCGCTGTGACCTCTTGTTCCTGCTCGCTGTCGCTTGTTGCTGATTGCTCAAACTTTCGGATGTGTTATGCTGTTTGCTGTGGGCTGCTGCTGCTGCTGCTGCTGCTTGATGCTACCTGGAACTGGTTGCTGTTGACTGCTGCTGCTTGGTGGTGTTTGCAACTGCTTTCAGCTGCTTACTGTGGCATCCAATTGCTGCCTGCTGCTGCTGATCGCTCATGGCTGATGCTGGCTTTGATGCTGTTAGATCCGGGGGAGGGCACACTGCCAGCACCGACGGACACGAGCAACATATTGCAACGATAATAATGTATGCACATGTGCCCTGCAATGCGGATGTCTGAGCTCTACGTCGTGTCCCATCAACACGTTGAGCAAAGACGACATCTGCGCGGTACGCCCACTTTTATCGCACGCGCCAATTCCAGCTTGGTAGGTGAGTAGGGTGACCCGTGGATTAAATCCATTGCAACAAGAAGTGAAATTCAACTTTAGGCCGCCTTGAGCTGGCCGTGTTGGCCCGTTCTGCTCGCTGCTGCATCCTACTGCTGCTTACTGCTGCTGCTCGCTGCTGCCTGTTAGTGTTTGCTGATCATGCTGCTCCTGCTGGTTTCTACTTCTTACTGCTGCTACTTGCTGCTGTTGCTGGCTCTGCTACTGCGCTGCTTCTGCTGCTGTTTGCTCTGATGCTGTTACTGCTGGTGCGTGGTCTTCAGAAGCCTTTGGAATCTTTCATGGACTCTTGAGCCGTGCTGGATAATCTCAAGGTCCTCGTGGGGCCTCTTCGATCGGCTGGGGTCCCTTCTGGGGTTCCCTTTAGATTGTCTGGGTGCCATCTTGGGGCCCTCTTGGGCGGTCCGGTGGAGACACTTCGAGCGCCTGGAAGCCCTTTGGGAGCATCTTCGGCTGTCTTGGCGCTTCTGGGTTGTCCTGGGAGCCCTCGGAGGCACCTCTTGGAGCCCTGCGAAACCTTCCTGGGCTCCTTTTGGGCCGAAGAGCACGGCGACCCTGAGACATCGGAAGCCCATGCGATTTTGAAGGGCTTCTGGCATCGTAGGCCGCCGTTGGGCCTCGACGCGCTCCTGCGGAACCTCTTTAGATGTCTGCTGGAACCTCGTGGGGCGGCTGGGCAGTTGTCGAGGCTTCGTCGGTCCTTCTTGAGGGTTCCAGGTGTCCCCTCAGGCTGTCAGCGGAAGTTCCTGCGACTTCCTGCGAGCTTCAAGACTAGAGAGGACTCGCAACTTGCATGAACAGAAATTTTCGGACCTCCGAACATCTGTGCCTGTGTGTTTCTTCTTGTCCGACAGGCTCCATGGGGGAAGCGAGGGCCCTTTGGTGCACCCGCCCTTCCCGCACGCAGGGGGCCCAGGACTGTAGATATGATGACGTCGGGCTCCAGCTTCGCTTCCCACATCTCGCTGAGCAGCGCCAGCGCGCGCTGCCACTGCTCGCCCTTCGTGCACGCGCTGATGCCAACGTTGTAGCTGACCAGGGTGGACCCGTGGACTCCGTCCACGCCATCATGTGGTAGCAAGCGGGGGGGGTGGCGGATGCAGGGCCGAACGGCAATCATGATGACGTGAAAGAGTCGGGGCGGAACATGAGAGGCCGCCCACATGGGGTCCGCGCAGATGGGCCTGGATGCGCGCGCTACAGCGGCGGCGTCGGCGGTGCTTCGCCGACGCCTGCGCAAGCAACTGGGGCCCCGAATCCAGCCGCACCGACGATGCAGCGGCGGTGCGGCGCAAGCCTCCGACCCCAGCTGCCCTGACCTCATCGGGGAGGCCAGGGAACATGCTTGGTAGTGTTCAGCCCCTGGGGGCCCTCGCGAAGCCCCAGAGCACCGTGAGCCAAGCGGCGCGGGAGGGAGAAAGCGGTCCGCAGGATCGGGTCTGGCGGCGTCTTTGTGGGCGTCTTTGGGGGTTACAAGGGGGTTCTGGCCGGGCGTCTTGGGTGTCTCTGGGCCGTGGTGGGGCCTGCGGATGCCGGCGTAGGCGCTTCGTGGGCCGTCGTGGGCCGCTGCTGTGGCCGTCGTGGGCGCCTCTTTGGCCGTCTTGGGCGCCTCCTGGGCCGTCGCGGGGCTGTCTGGACCGTCGTGGGACCGCCAATGGACGATATGAAGAGGGAGAATGAAACATGACAAACAAAACGCCAAAAGCGTCCGAACATCAATGCTCGCCGTGACAACAAACAATAACGACAATTGCAGATTTTCGCCCTCGGGGGGTCCTCCGTGAAAGCATCCTGGAACCTCTCGGGGCCGCCTTGGCGCCATCGTGGGGTTTCTGGTGCCGGTTCGAGCTCGGTTTTCGTCCGCCTGGGTCGTCCGCCTGGTGGCCGTCGTGGAGGCCGTCTGGGACCTTGCCATGTCGGGACCATATCGCACGCGCTAGTCTGGGCATTGTAACATTCATGACATCGGGCTCCAACTTCGCCTCCCGCATCTCGCTGAGCAGCGCAAAGGCCCGGTGCCACTGTATACCCTTCTCGCATGCGCTGATCCCAGCGTTGATGCTGAAGACGTTGGGCTCCAGCTTCGCCTCCTGCATCTCGGTGAGCAGCGCCAAAGCCCGCTGCCACTGCTCGCCCGTGCTGCACGCGCTGATCCCAGCATTGTAGTTGATTAGGGCTGGCCAATGGACTACGTCCACGGAAACTGCACGAACTGGCATGTGGTTGTGGACATGCCCGCGAAAGACTGAAATGCAAACGCGGGGCTCGACCCTCGTATTCCGCGCATGCCACTGCCTTCTCTTGATCGCTGCCGCTGTTGCGCGCTGCTGCTAATGCTTGTCGCTTCTGCGTGTTGTTGTTGTTGTTGTTGTTGTTGTTGTTGTTGTTGTTGTTGTTGTTGTTGTTGTTGTTGTTGTTGTGGCTGCAAGTCCTGCTGATGGCCAGTTCTGCTTGGTGCTCGCTGTTGCCCGCTGCCTGCTGCTGCTTGCTGTTGCTGTTGCTGCAGGGTGCTGTTTATCGCTCCTTCAGCTTGCTTGCGCAATCTGCTGCTGGGAGAGGATCGCGGAGCCAGGAACAATGGGACCGAGGAGGGAGGTGGGAGAAGCGAGAAGTGAGAAGTCATCAGCGAAGAGCGATAAGGGAGTAGCGACGACCGGTAAGAGAGGGACGAGGAAGGAGGGAGAGCCGAGAGGGGAGGAGGCGGGAGGTGCGAGGGACCTTCTTGGGACCCCCTGGGGCCTCGTGATGGGAGGCCTCTCGGGATGCCTGCTAAGGGACTCTTAGGACCTTCTTGGGGCCTTCCTTGAGGTTGCTTCGGCTGGCGTAAAAGTCCTCCCGAGCCTCCTGGGAGCCACCTGGCACTCGGACCTGTTCGGGGGGTCTGGGAGCGTTCGGGGCTTGCCTTGGGGCTATATTAATGCGTTCCTGGGCCTCTGTGGCCCCGTCTTGGGCCCCCCCTGGTGGGCCTATTGGGACGTCCCGGGTCGCTATCGGATGCTTCTTGGGCCATCCTGGGCCCGAGGCCATAAAAACGAGCATGCGGCATACGCTTGAAAATTGTATGGCCATTGTTAGCTGTTGCTCCCGAGTGATCTGCCCGGGATTCTCTTGGAGACGCCAGGGGGTGTGTTTGGGGCTTCTCGGGCCATCTTGGGTAGCGACTTCCCTTTTGTATGTTCCCGAATGTTTCTCTGGTTTGATTGCGATACCTTCGTGTGCTCTTTGTTGTCTGCTTGATTGATTGCGTTGCCTAGTGTTTTTGTTGTTGTTTGGTCGTATATCACAGCTGATCATTTTAAAGCACTCCTTGCAACCGAAAGCACGGGACTAATTCCACACGCGCTCGTCGTCGCGCGCGCACACCGGATTCCTGGGAACAACCTAAGGTTTCGTGAAGTTTTCAAAACGGAATCCCCGAAACCATATGACACCACATGGTTTTGCAACATCCGTTTCGAAGAAAGGAAGAAAGGTGTGCGTGCGCGCTCTTGACGCTTCAAACAACATTTTTGTTTGGCCTCTCTCGCGCATATATGCCGAAATCATTCGAACGCCCTTGCGCGCGTGCTGGGGGGGGCACGACCCCGGTTAAAGAACACCATGCGGGCCACTAGCGCGCGTCGGTTGCGCGCAGTTCGAACTGCTTCTAAAACCTTCATCGCCGGCGCGAGGCCACCATCATCGTCATCGGCGTGATCAGCATCGGCACGGCCATTGGCCTTGCCGTCGCCATCGTCATCATCGCCACCATCATCGCTACGATCAACATCGTGTCTACCGTTGTCGACGTCACCATGATACCGGGTCACCCATGTCACCGACTTGCACTGAAGTACCCGAGCGTCAGTGTGGCCTGCGAAGCGCGCTGGGAATCGCCCAACGGTCAGCGCCACCGCGCTGGCGTCGGTCGCGCCAGACTAGCTGGCCGCTCTGCGCGCGAACCTGCGCGCGTAAGCGCGGCCGCAACGATGCGCCAGCCAGCGCCAAGCAGTCGTCGCAATTGCCGCCGCATGGGTTTTGCAAACCAAGTTGCGGGTTGGTGTGCGGGACGATTACGCGAACAATGGAGTTGACAACTCACCAGTGAGCAACCGTTATTTCCACCACCTACGTTGCACACCCCACACCTCGCGCACAACATAGATGGCACAACATACATTGCACCGCGAATATGGCACACCATAGCTTGATTGGAACACTGTTTGGGGCGCAACCGGGCTAAAACATTGTGTTAGGTTACGCTCGGTTATGCCCCACTGTGTCGCAGTATGAGGTGCTCTGTATTCGTGTGATTTGGTATGTGGTGATGTGTGTGATTATGCTCTGTTCTGTAATGCCATCTCTTGGTTTGCCATGTTATGCCATGATCTGTGCATTCATATCTGTCATGGTTTGGCTTGTTTTGTTCTGGTGGCCCTAGTCCAAGGTGTCATATTCATTGGTGTTCTGTGGCATCCCTTGTCGTAGTTATAGCAGTCGTAGAGCAAGTCTGTTCAGTTCTGTCATGTTGTTCATGGTGTGATTGTCCTATGCCCCGCTCTATCATGTTATGGCTTGTTGTTGTACAATGTGCTATGTGATGCAGTGTTCGTTCACGCTGTGTTGGGTCATGCGATGCGGTGCTAAGATATTGTATGTTATGATATGGTCTGGCCAATCTAATATGTTATGTTCTTCGGCGGTGGACGAACTTCCCTTGACCGAGACGACCGAAACCGGCCTAAGACCGAAAGCCTACCTAAAACCGACCGAAACCGGCCTAAGACCGAAACCGACGGACCTGGACCTGCAAACATGACGGCCGTGATGCCCTCTCGCGAACCGAACACGGCCAATTCACTAATCGCCGTGTCAGGGTAGGAGGTCTATCAACCTCCGAGTTCTACTATGTTAACATGTGCTGCGCTCTGCTCTGCCGCCGTCGGTTTGTTTTCGTGTGAGCGTCCGTTTCTTCTGCGTGTTCGCAGTGCCAATTCGTCGCGTCTCTCTACTCATGCCTCGGCGCCCGGGCAGCGTGACGCCGTGATGCCTCCCGCTCGTGCTCCTGTGGGGTCTGGCGGTCGCGATGTGCAAGGTGGGCAGACGGAGTTCTTCTGGTAAGTTCGAACAGCCTCAACCAGTCGGGTGGGGAACGGCAAGGAACCAATGCGCCTGAACATGCGAAGGAACCTTCACAGCTGACTGCGAAACCATGCCTTTACAAAACAACGCCGTAAGAACCCCCTACGTCCAGCCGGCACTACGAACTCGTTACCACCAACAAGCGTGAAATTGCGCGTCCGCCGACCCCGCTGCCACTGCTACTGATAAAGTAGTCGCGCAAGTCCGGGTCGTACTACTACAACCTTGCTGCAGAAACCATGCCTACAGACTCCAACTAAAGATGCCGTTGCTAAGGGTTCCTCGCTAAGGGAGGCCTCGCTGATGAATCAAGCTTCACGGCGTCCGTCCTTACGACAGACCTCTTGCTGACGGCATCCTTGATAAAGACTTCATATCCAAAGGGTCCTTACCAAAGGTGCCTCGCCGTAGGGATCTTTCCTCAGGATGCGTCGTTCAAAAGGATCCATACTCAAGAATGCTTACCCAACGGAGTCCGTACCAAGGATCCCTCGCTAACGGGGTCCCTTCGTGCGGCGCCAAAGCATCCTTGTTGAGACATCCGTACTGGAGGAGCCCTCACCGCAGAGCCCTTACTGCAAGGACCCTTGCCCAGGGAATCCTTACTACAGGCACCCCCGACTTTTCAGCGCATCGGGCCCGCTGGATGCGGCAGCCGCTGTGCCCCGCGCGGGGCCAGCCAAAAAGGGGGGCCAGAGGAAACCCCGTGCTCGCCGGCTTGAACGTCGGGCCCTTTTCGCGGGCGCGAGCGGTGCCTCCCTCCATATCTCGAGGAAGCCCGCCCATAGGGGTGCGCGCGCTGGATCGCCTGCGAGGATCCACGGCGCCCGACGCCAAAGGGGGGGAACGGCAGCGTCCGCCGCCACCAGGCTGCGTCGGCCTGGGCCTTGTCCACACCTCGCCACCTGTGCCTGGCCCGGGTCAACGCAGACTGGCCCGCGGTCCGCAGGGGGGGGGCGCCGGGCGTGCCTGGGGCTGCGCGGACCATTGATTCCTTACGAAAAGGGCTCAGAATATTCATCACCAAAGGCATCCTTGTCAACGGATGGCTGCTAAACCTAATCATCAAAACAAACCTTTCAATGCGGGGATCCTTACCAAGAATCCCATCGTAAAAGGCTTCCCTATAAAGGAAACGTTCGAAAAACGGATGCGTTCCTGACAATTCCTGGCAACAGATGTCTTGTTGCGGGTGTCGCCTTGGGGGGTCTCCTCACGGGACCATGAAGCATGCGAAGGGTGTGCCGACATGCGGCGGGGCCGCCATGTGGGCGCTGCCACTGGGGCTTTAAGTGGAACCCACTATGGTGCTGCGGAACGTGCGAAGGGTGCACTGACGCCACGAAGCGCTGCACTGATTGAGGGAGGCGCATGCGAACATCGCCAGTGGGGCCTTACGTGGAGCTCCCCATGGTGCCACGAAGCGCTGTAGTGGCTCGGGGCGGCGCGTGCGGAAGCTGCCAGCGAGGCTTTCGCTGGAGCTCCCTATGGGGCCACGAAGCGCTGTACTGGTTGGGGGAGACGCATGCGAACACCGCCGCTGAAGCCTTCGGTGGGGCCCCAAATGGTGCCGCGAAGCGCTGTACTGTCTGGGGGGACCGCATGCGAACACCGCCACTGGGGCCTCCGATGGAAATTCCTATGAGGCCACGAGGCGCTGATGCGAACACCGCCACTGGAGCCTTCGGTGGAGCTCCCTGTGGGGCCACGAAGCGCTGTACTGGGTTGGGGTGACGCGTGCGGGCAGTGCCACTGGGGCCTTCGGTGGGGCTCTACTGGGTGCGGTGACGCGTGCGGGCAGTGCCACTGGGGCCTTCGGTGGAGCTCCCCATGGGGCCACGAAGCGTTGGTTTGGGTGCGGCGGCGCATCCGGGCGGTGCCACTGAGGCCTTCGGTGGAGCTCCCCACGGGGCCACGAAACAGTGCACTGGGTGGGGAAGCCGCATACGGATGAGGGCAGAGGCGGGGAGGGGAG